CGATTAATCATGATTAATTGTTTGACAGCACTAATATACAGTATATATATATATATATATATATATATATATACACACACATATAGGTAAATTGTAATAGATGGATTACAATTTAATTATTTTCTGAAAAATTATTGAAAATCAAGTCTTTCATTGCCATTTTTTGCTATTTGAAATTGTGTTTCTCTTCTTAAGAAAGAAGTAAAATATAATAAATAAAATAAAATAAATAAATAAATACACACACATACATTATTCAATATTTTATATATATATATATATATATATACTGTATATTAGTGCTGTCAAACAATTAATCATGATTAATCGCATCCAAAATTTAAGTTTTTGTTTACATAATATACATGTGTACTGTGTTTATTTATTATGTATATATAAATACACACACTATATATATATATATATATATATATATATATAATTTAATGGTATACAGATCATTTTATTCACTAAGAATGCATTGAATTAATGATATACAAAGTGTTTACGTATAATTTAATTCACTAAGTATGCATTAAATGAAAGGAGACATATTATGCCCCTTTTTACAATATGTAATATAAGTCTCTGGTGTCCCCAGAATGTGTCTGTGTAGTTTCAGCTCAAAATACTCCACAGATCATTTATTATATAATTTTGAAAATGCCTATTTTGAGTGGAAGCAGAAACACGCTGTTTTTCGGGCCTGTGTCTTTAAATGCAAATTAGCTGCTGCTCCCCGCCCCCTTTTCCAGAATAGAGCTGGGTCATTACAGCTCGAACCTGCTAAAAACATCTGTTTTGGTTCTGATTATCATGTTTATCGTGCTGAAATCATGCGGTTTCAACCATATTAGTTTAAACTTCTGAGATACAGTTTTCTGAGCGCACACATCCGAAGCACACGGACAGAAAGCGGCTGTCACAGCATGTGAGTACTGAACTAAGTTCTCATTCACACACAAGTTTACGTTAAAAGCACACATGAGTTACAAAAAACAGTCGGTTATGTCTGTGAAGGTAAACAGCTGGGAAATAAATCGCTTGTTTATTTTAGATCTGTGTGGCAGCAGCAATATGCAGACGCTTGCAGAAAAAGGCTTACCAAAACAAAGTTACTGGGTTAATCTTTTTCATGTTTCCTTGGTTTGTAGATGCACCGGGGACCTGAGCACTTAAAACCTGGAAAAGTCAGATTTTCATGATATGTCACCTTTAAAACCATATAAATACTTTATACTATAAAATATTAGAGAGAAATGCACTAACTACTAGGCCACGATTCCTTACCTGTTAAAGTGCCCCTATTATGCCATTTTTAAGGTTGCTAATATTGTTTTATGAGTCTCCTAAAACAGATTTACATGCATGCGAGGTCAAAAAACATGTTAGTTTTCTCAAAAAATAGATTTAATTTTACTTAATTTCTAAATGATTCAGTCTCTCTAAACCCCTCCTTTCCGTGAGCCCTCACTGCTGTGATTGGTCAGATGGCGCAGTCCTTC